GGGGGGCTGCCGGGGGGCTGCCACGTCAGCGGCTGGAGAGGGGTGGGGTGGTTTTCGGAGCGCACGGCTCAGGGGTTCATAGGGATTCTGGGGGCACTCGTGCCCTTCATCTCCCCCAGCTCGGGGGGGACAGGACCCTTTACCTCCTCCTCCTGCCACAGCCACATCCAGAGCTGCTGCCCTGCCCGGGGCTGGCACATGGGGACAAGCTGAGCCATGAGCGTGTCCCCTCCTTACCTGTTCACCCCATTTCTAACCGCTCCGCTTGTCCGGGCACCACAGAGGGTGACCGGCGGCTTTGCCAGTGGAGCAGGGGGTGGGTGGGAAACCCAGGGGCTGGCACTGGGCACGGCCCAGCTGCTGGAGATGTTTCCCCAAGGGTTGGTGAATCCCCAGCCTGCAGCTGAGCCTGGTTCCTTGACGTGCTGGGTTTGGGAGATGATCCTGGAGTGCGCCTCCACCCGCATCTCTGCCCTCCCGGACCTCCAGTTCATCAGGCCACGGGCTAACGAGGCCATCGCATTACTGGCCGAGCTGGAGTCCAAAGGATCCCCCCCCAACCCCGATCCCAGCTGGCTGGAAACCAGTGTCAAGCGGGACTGCCAAAGCCCAGCTTTTCACCCAGGGCAGCGGGTTAATCCGGGCAGCTGCTCTCCCACCCAGGGAGGCTCATCCCAATCGTCCTGCTCCAGCCGGCCGGAAAACATGGGGCCCACATGGATTAAACACCAACAGCCCCAGGGGGCCAGGACCATCCTCGGAACCTGGCGGGGTTTTTTTTTTTTTTGGAAAATCAGCAAAAAGTCCTGCAAAAGTGGGGCTGCCGGCAAAGCCCGGGACCCTCCTGCCTCTCTCTTTCTGTAATTAAGTTTAAAAAGCTGCCACTCGGCCCCAGAGTGGGAGGTGGCCGGGGGCTGCGAGCCCAAAGGTGGGGTACGACATGCCGAAGCCAAAGCCGGAGCATGGCTGGATGCGGCCCCGGGGGTAGAAAGTCCCCAGCCCTCAGCTCCTTCCTCCTGGGGGCGGCGGCTCGGTCCCCCCAAACCTGGGTGAGATGGATGGGTGCCGGGGCCAGCTCCTGAGCTGGGACGAGCAGCGTTAACCCACAGGGGTGCCCCCCCCCCAGACCTCGCTGCTCGGGAAGGGACTTGCGGGGTGTTGCTGGGTGCTGGATTTTGTTCATCTGTGGCTCGGCGTGTGCTTTGCCTGGGGGGGCCCAAAATGGTTTGCGGTGCCCCTGTCCCCCAGGACACCATGGGGACACGGTGACTCCTCTGCCGGGGGAAAGCAGGTCTCGCCTCTGGCTTGCACTGTGGCCCCCGCCGCGC